GCCCCGCTTTCATTCAAGAACAACGATGAAAGGCTCTGTTTGATGTGTGCTATCTGCAAAAGAATCCTCTAATTACACATCACTCCTTGGCCCCAGTTATCATTAATAATAATAATAATAATAATAATAATAATAATAATAATAATAAAAAATAATAATAATAACAGCTGTCTGACTACATTAGTTCATGCTGTTGGGTGTTTAAAAAAATATGATGAATTTACTAAAAATCCAAATAAGATCAAAGTTATCAAAGTGTCTCAAATAAATTATTGTGAATAATTTTATTTTATGTTATTTAACATTTATCTGGTTTAACGTTATTTTATTCCATGTTGACAGCCTCTGAGCATTTTGGAGATGAAAATGAAGTTGGATTAAATCTGGTCTTGAAGTGAAGTTGATTTTGTTTAGATGACTGAATTTAACTGAAGTTGGCAAAAACATGAATAAAAAGTTCTTGTGTGGGATCAGGTTTTTATATAACCCCAGGAAGGCTGCTTAAATAAACACTAACATTACAGATAAGGAAAGCCAAAATGCTCACAATTAATGCATTGTTCTGTCTGGTGGTGTCTAATGAATGCTGTTTCACCACCAGCGGTTTATGGCGTGATTGTTTGTTGGTGCTTCGTTGAACACATGGCGGAGTATTTAGCTTCATTTAAAAGAGCAGCCAGAGATTTTGAATAGCATAAATTAGGATTTTTTTTCAGCTTCAGCAGGGCACATGTGACTACTGACCTGTTGACCCTTCACAGTTTCCTGTCCAGTAATTGTAGGGTGTTAAGAAACAAAGTTTCACAGAAATATGATAAAAAATGTAAACAAAAGTAAAGAAAGCACGTGTTTCAACAAGGGCTGCATTCCATTTAGAAGAAAGCGTGATCCTTAGCAGTTGCACTAATAGATCTTTTCTTTACTTTCCCTACTCTTGCAGGTCTAAATGTCTGCTGTGAAATAGGCGATTCGTTATACAATCGACCAGGGACGGCGTTAGGCCCGGCTACTTGGGCTGAAGCCCCGGATGTTTCATGAAAAGCCCCGGATCTAAATCGTGGAAGTAACATGCAGTACCAAAGTCCAACAGAGAGGGAGCAGCTGGCAGTAATTTGCATACAGCCTGCCTGAGCCTCCACCACTGAAGAAGAAGCCCTTCAGCAGCCAGCTTCTTCCACACTCTCTGCCTGAAACGCATGAGTGAAGATGGACATAAGGACGTTTTTTAGACCAAAAGTACGGCGACAGAACCCCAGATTTGATGAGACTGGTGTTGACTCAGGTTTGTGAGTCTTATTTGAAAATATTTGTTGTGCCGGGAGTGACTGGAGTGCGACCCGCGCCCATGGAATGTGCCGCTCGTGCGGTGACCTCACAAACTGGGACGTTACTCGAGGTGAACCGCAAGCTGGATAATGTCCTTGCGGCGTTGCCTGTGATAGTACGCAAGATGGATTTGATCTCGGAGAGGGTCGCCGGACGATGCGGGGATGTTTAGAACGTAAAATTGGCTTCACTGGTGGACATGAATGACCACTTAGAGACTCCAAGGTGGAGAGGAAAATTATCTCTGCCTGCCCCAAACAAAGTCAGGTTTATCCTTATCTGACGCCAAAGCAGCCTCTCAAGGCTGCTTCAACACACCCCCCATGAAAGGAGGAATGCCGACAGATGCTGTGTCCCGACCTTCCCCATCTTCCTTCAGATTGAGACATCTGCGGGAAACTTCAATGTGCTCTCTGGTCCTTATCTCTCCCTCCCACCTGTTGGTCTGCAGCTGGTCGATGCGCCGCAGTGGCAGCTCCCATTGGAGGCTTCAGGATCCCGCCCATCCCCGCCTCCCCATCGGACTCTGATGTTGTATCTGTGCTGTTTGTGCTTCCATGTTAAAGGAGGTTTTTTTGTATAATAGAGTTACTCCCCGCTGGGGCTAACTCTGCTATGCCTTTTTTTTAACCTACCCCCACTTATCCTCATGTAACACCCTTTTCATCTATCTATTAAGGTAGCGCAACTCATGTTGCGAATGACCACAGTCACCAATTCTTGTCATGTGTCTTACCCACGTATGTCTGATCTTTGAATTGTGTGTGCTGAAACTCAATTTCGTTTCTCTGTATGTCCTGCACATGTGGTAGAAATGACAATAAATGACTTTGACTTGACTTTGACTTGCTGCTGGTTTGCCTAAAGTTAGCTTATCAGGTAAAGTTGTTGGAGAAAGAAAGGGAATATTTACTATCATCTCACACTAAACACTAACAGGAACAATACTCTGCCCTGAAAATGCTTAATATGTAGCTTCAGATTAAAAATTATGTGGTACAAGACATATATGATGTTGACTAGTGCGTGTCACGTGTGTGTGTGTGTGCGTGCGCGTGTGTTAAGCCCCGGATGTTCTTCAGTCCTTAATCCGCCCCTGCAATCGATGGATAATTTACTTATAAATCCTAAAATCTGCATTTAGTCACTAAGCAAACTGCAATGACCAGTTTACACCAGTAGGGTGTACGGCTTTTACCAACATGTGCATTAAAAGAGAATAAGAAAAAAGATGTTAAACTAAATTAGCAAATTTAGTTGCGCAACACACGGACTTAAAAGTATAAAAGCAAAGTTGCCTTAAGAGCTCAAGTAGAAAAATCCTGCAAATGCATGCTTATGGGCCAGATGAGCTACATGGGCCATCAGTTTAGGACCATGGAGGTAAACACTTTTTATTCAGTTATTTTTAGTTTTTACCTTGAGGCTACCGCTGCTCTGCTGCTTATTGTTATTTTCACTTTAGAAGTGTGTGTGTGTGTGTGTGGGGGGGGGGGGGGGGGGGGGGGGTATCTTTACTTATGTTCTAGTGGGGAAACAGGCTTCAACACAGTTGTTTTCTGCTTGGTCCTAGAGCTCAACCAGTGTCAATTTAATATAAAGTAATATTGTTTTGGGATGGTAAAAAGTGCAGAGGTCAAAACTTGACTTTGGAAAAAGTGGGTCCCCCCCAAAAATTACGTCCATGTGTCCAACAACAACACGTCATTATCATAGACTGTAAATACTTCCGCTAAATATTTTCCGCTTCAGAAGAAGCGTCCGTGTTTTACGCTTCTCAGAGACATGTCACGTTGCTAAGTTGTTAGCGCCGCGCGCTAACACGTCAATAGTGCAGCATAGCCTGCTCGAGGTTTTAAGGGTTCAGATGAAAACACCCTACCACTCAGGCTGCTTACACATCGATATTAAGTTGTCGCTGTTGCGCTCACGCCGTAATACAGTATTAGATGCGGTTAAAGTCAGACATGAAAAACTCCACGAGCGGTCAGACCGCGCAGCAGCTAGGCGCAGCAAGTAGGCGCCGGATCGGTCCAGGCTGCCCGGCCTGACCGCTGGGGATTACCGGATGGAAGAATGGACACAGAAGTCTCCCTCTTAGCGCTCCGTCATATTTCAACCCATTTTTATCTTAAATGCACTGGGTTTTACCCTATTACCCATCTAAATATGCCCTATTAATTATTTTACCGTATTTTACATTTAAATTTCATGGTTAAACAGTACATGCTACATGTTAAACTGATAGTTAGCTAGCTACTTCGGTAAACTCAGCTAGTTTAAAGGTGGGCAGTGACATAAAATACGAATATAGATTTTAACTTACCGAAAAAAATGAAGTGGAGACTCCTTGGACGCTCTATTAGTGCAATTAATACCACTGCAAGTCATTTTGTCCAACAATTGCACCAATAATATCCAAAGAAGAATACACAAACACAGAGACTCAAAATGCCGGAGCAGTTTCCAAGCCAGACCGAGGCTGTACTGAGGCCTTTCCACGGAGCTAGCTCTGTGGTCACGTGGGTCTGAGGCGGCGGTCACGTGGGTCGGATGCTCATTAATTATACAGAAGTTTAGGCTTTCAATACACTTAAACAGAAGAGTGAGAAAAAAATTCACCCCCCTCAGAGTTGTCATGAGTATAAACTAGATAATTTAGACAAAAAACATGTTTTGGTACCAGGCTGTAAACATGTTTATTTCTGCTGTGAAATCGGCATTTTTAACATGGGAGTCAATGAGGATTTGCTCGCTTCTGGCACCAGCCCCCAGCGGATGAGGATGGAACTGCAATTTTTCTTACTTCCGGGATGGGACCATTTTTAGAGCGGCATTGTGGGGGCTTGGTCATTATCAGTGCTGTGATGCAAATATCCCAACAGATGACAAAAGGAGAGCGGAACTGTTTGTTTGGAACAAATGTGTGGAAAACTCTAAGGTTGTAAATGTTTTTACTGACAACAAACTCGACTGGGTTGATGATCATCTAAACAATGAGGATCGGAGAGGGTCCATCATGACAAATATTTAGATTTTATTCTAAAGAAAGTCTTCTTGGACATCTCAGAGGAGAAACCAGCCCTCTTCTGTTTTTTAAAACTCAATTTCACAAAATAAGTAGATATCAGGATCTCACAGAGGTCAAAAACTTCGTTTCACCAATTCCTTGTTTTAAACGTCACCATGAGCTTTTCGACGTTAATAAAGAGGAGACTCCCTGGCGCAGATTGAGCCATCGCTGCGTAATGTCACATCTTTCCGCATCTCTGTCTGCATACGGAAAGTGTGTGAGCATGGATGTTATTTTCACTTTAGAAGTGGGGGGGGGGGGGGGGGGGGTGGTGGTGGGGACACGAGGGTGGGGGGTGGGGGGGGGTATTTTTACAGTATGTTCTAATGGGAAACAGGCTTCAACACAAACGGTTATTTTCTGCTTGGTCCTAGAGCTCAACCAGTGTCAATTTAATATAGTGTAATGGTTTTGGATGGTAAAAAGTGCAGGGGTCAAACCTTGACTTTGGAAAAAGTGTGTGTGTGTGTGGGGGGGGGGGGGGGGGGGGGGGGGACATGTCCCCCCCTGTCCCCCCCCCCCCCCCCAAAATTACGTCCGTGTGTGAGTGTATAAAAGAGACACTTTCCCCGACAGACAAGTCCTGTAAATGTCCAAGCATAAGCTGCATAAACCCGGCGAGCCGACCTGGAGATCAGTTGGGTGGATCAAACATCTGGCGCAGCTCGTTTTTACGCACAGACTGGATCCGTTTCCTCACCGGGATATTTCAGGAAAAGAGGGAAAAGACGTTTGAAACTTTCTGGGTGGGGCTTAGGAGGAGGAAAGAGAGGAAAAGGGAGTGAGAAAACAGTGAGATGTGTGTGTGTGTGTGTGTGTGTGTTAGGAGCTGGGTGGGTCTAAACTCTTTACACATTCCCAAATAACTTTTCCTCCGCTCCGTGTGTTAAAGCGCTTCAGGTAAACTTTACTCGCTTTGCTTTTATTCATAAACTTTCTATTCACGTTCCAAACTCCATGTGAACTTTTTACGTTTCTTTTATGTTTTCCTGTTTGGACAGAAAGCCTTAAAGTCGACGGCGCTCCGAGGCTTTGCGAGCGGTTTATTCACGCGCGTGCGGTGACTACTGC